GGACATCTACAGCGATGTGCGAAGATTCCTTCTCGACTCCGAAGAACATATTCAGTGAACACAGCATGTTTTACATCATGCTCTGAGGTGACGCTGAAATTGGCAGTGCAGAATTCGACAGAAATGTAGCCTATAGTTGTAATTATTGAAGTTTAAACTATGAAGAATTGTTGACAAGCTAGTGGTGCTCATCCTGTCAGCTGACCTGTGCGTGTTGGTAGGCACCGATCATGTGTCGGCCTACGGCAGCTACGGCTGCATTTCAGATACACATGTTGTAGTGGGCCGCATATCTTTCTTGTGTTATTATATAAAGCGACGGTTGTTGATGTGTACGGCTACATTTCAGATACATTTTTTGAACATTTGAACAGTAGTAGGACCATTCTACCTTGTGTTATTAGGGCTCTAAAGCAACACTAGTTGTGCCCCCCCCCCCATGGATTTAAAATGCCCCCTCAGGCATGTCATCCTGGATCCGGGCCTGGGACTCTCTCTGTCTCAGTACTAGTACAGCTGGTAGCAGGGCTGGGGAGGACTGTGTGATGTGATGTGGTGTCTCAGGTAGCCTCAGGGCAGAATGCTGCATCATGAGACCAGCAAGGATGCTGGCACACAGCTGTGAGGAGCCATCTGATTGTTCAAATGAGCACACTAGGGCTGTCCCCAACTAAAAGAAAGATTGATCGACCAAGAGTCCTCTTTTCTTTCGACCAAACTTTTTAAACGTGTATTTTTCCATACAGTGAGGGAAAAAAGTATTTGATCCCCTGCTGATTTTGTACGTTTGCCCACTGACAAAGACATGATCAGTCTATAATTTTAATGGTAGGTTTATTTGAACAGTGAGAGACAGAATAACAACAACAAAAATCCATAAAAATTAATGTAAAAAATGTTATAAATTAATTTGCATTTTAATGAGGGAAATAAGTATTTGACCCCTCTGCAAAACATGACTTAGTACTTGGTGGCAAAACCCTTGTTGGCAATCAGAGGTCAGACGTTTCTTGTAGTTGGCCACCAGGTTTGCACACATCTCAGGAGGGATTTTGTTCCACTCCTCTTTGCAGATCTTCTCCAGGTCATTAAGGTTCCGAGGCTGACGTTTGGCAACTCAAACCTTCAGCTCCCTCCACAGATTTTCTATGGGATTAAGGTCTGGAGACTGGCTAGGCCACTCCAGGACCTTAATGTGCTTCTTCTTGAGCCAGTCCTTTGTTGCCTTGGCCGTATGTTTTGGGTCATTGTCATGCTGGAATACGCATCCATGACCCATTTTCAATGCCCTGGCTGAGGGAAGGAAGTTCTCACCCAAGATTTGACGGTACATGGCCCCGTCCATCATCCCTTTGATGCGGTGAAGATGTCCTGTCCCCTTAGCAGAAAAACACCCCCAAAGCATAATGTTTCCACCTCCATGTTTGACGGTGGGGATGGTGTTCTTGGGGTCATAGGCAGCATTCCTCCTCCTCCAAACTCGGCGAGTTGAGTTGATGCCAAAGAGCTCGATTTTGGTCTCATCTGACCACAACACTTTCACCCAGTTCTCATCTGAATCATTCAGATGTTAATTGGCAAACTTCAGACGGCCCTGTATATGTGCTTTCTTGAGCAGGGGGACCTTGCGGGCGCTGCAGGATTTCAGTCCTTCACGGCTTAGTGTGTTACCAATTGTTTTCTTGGTGACTATGGTCCCAGCTGCTTTGAGATCATTGACAAGATCCTCCCGTGTAGTTCTGGGCTGATTCCTCACCGTTCTCATGATCATTGCAACTCCACGATGTGAGATCTTGCATGGAGCCCCAGGCCGAGGGAGATTGACAGTTCTTTTGTGTTTCTTCCATTTGCGAATAATCACCTTCTCACTAAGCTGCTTGGCGACAGCCTTGTGTAGGTCTACAATCTTGTCCCTGACATCCTTGGAGAGCTCTTTGGTCTTGGCCATGGTGGAGAGTTTGGAATCTGATTGATTGATTGCTTCTGTGGACAGGTGTCTTTTATACAGGTAACAAGCTGAGATTAGGAGCACTCCCTTTAAGAGTGTGCTCCTAATCTCAACTCGTTACCTGTATAAAAGACACCTGCGAGCCAGAAATCTTTCTGATTGAGAGGGGGTCAAATACTTATTTCCCTCATTAAAATGCAAATCAATTTATAACATTTTTGACATGCGTTTTTCTGGATTTTTTTGTTGTTATTCTGTCTCTCACTGTTCAAATAAACCTACCATTAAAATTATAGACTGATCATGTCTTTGTCAGTGGGCAAACGTACAAAATCAGCAGGGGATCAAATACGTTTTTCCCTCACTGTATATAGACACACCCTATGTGTTTGAATAAAATCAACTATATGCACTGAACTTGTATGATGCTTTAAGCATGCTGTTTGATTAAATAATAGGTGGTGTCTCTTATTGAGTTTAGGTAGTGGTGTCTCTTATTGATTAGGTAGGTGGTCTCTTATTCAGTCTAGGTAGGTGGTGTCTCTTATTGAGTCTAGGTAGGTGGTGTCTCTTATTGAGTCTAGGTAGGTGGTGTCTCTTATTGAGTCTAGGTAGGTGGTGTCTCTTATTGAGTCTAGGTAGGTTGTGTCTCTAATTGAGTCTAGGTAGGTGGTGTCTCTTATTGAGTCTGGGTGTCTCTTGAGTCTAGGTAGGTGGTGTCTCTTATTGAGTCTAGGTAGGTGGTGTCTCTTATTGAGTCTAGGTAGGTGGTGTCTCTTATTGAGTCTAGGTAGGTGGTGTCTCTAATTGAGTATAGGTAGGTGGTGTCTCTTATTGAGTCTAGGTGTCTCTTATTGAGTCTAGGTAGGTGGTGTCTCTTATTGAGTCTAGGTAGGTGGTGTCTCTTATTGAGTCTAGGTAGGTGGTGTCTCTTGAGTCTAGGTAGGTGGTGTCTCTTATTGAGTCTAGGAAGGCTGTGTCTCTTATTGAGTCTAGGTAGTGGTGTATCTTATTGAGTCTAGGTAGGTGGTGTCTCTTCTTGAGTCTAGGTAGGTGGTGTCTCTTATTGAGTCTAGGTAGGTGGTGTCTCTTATTGAGTCTAGGTAGGTGGTGTCTCTTGAGTCTAGGTGTCTCTTATTGAGTCTAGGTAGTGGTGTCTCTTTTTGAGTCTAGGAAGGTGGTGTCTCTTCTTGAGTCTAGGAAGGTTGTGTCTCTTATTGAGTCTAGGTAGTGGTGTATCTTATTGAGTCTAGGTAGTGGTGTCTCTTTTGAGTCTAGGTAGGTGGTGTCTCTTCTTGAGTCTAGGTAGGTGGTGTCTCTTCTTGAGTCTAGGTAGGTGGTGTCTCTTATTGAGTCTAGGAAGGTGGTGTCTCTTATTGAGTCTAGGTAGTGGTTTCTCTTCTTGAGTCTAGGAAGGTGGTGTCTCCTCTCACTCTAAAGAGAGGTCCCCTCAGCCATGGCCTGGACAGCATCACTAATGCTCTTTAGGCCAGAGGGTTAGGAGGAGACAGGGCCAGGGACGATCACCCCTATAACATGGCTATCTGCCTGCTAATCCCTGCCTGGCAGTGTGTGTGTGCCAGCCTGCCCAGCTGGGCAACAGAGATAAAGCACAGAGGGGAACACATTACCACAGCTCTTGTTCCTCAAGGCTCCTTTGTGTGGTTCTGCTAATCTAATTTAAAGAGTCTAGTGCTGATGTGAATGTGTGCAATACCTTCAATTGTCAATTTCATATAGAAAGAGACATAGGTTGGTAACACTTTATTTTTGATAGTCCAACTGTAGATGCTCTACAGACTATCAGTAACATGTCAAATAACCATCTACTAACCCTAACCCTAACCCTAGCTCTAACCCTGACCTTAACCCTTATCCTAACCCTAACCCTAAACTTAACTTTAACCCTTCATCTAAACCTAACCTTTACTCTAACTCTTACTCAAACCTAACCGTAACTGTCGAAAGCAGTTGCTTATCAACAGATAGTCATACTATCAACAAACTGTCTGTAGAGCATCTACCGATGGAAAATCCAGACTATCCAGATAAAGTGTGACCATAGGTTAATATTTTCTGTGAGTGTCGGCCTGCCGGCTGTAAGATGGTTACACTGTGAAGACTACTTTGGATCAAGTGTTTTATTTAATATTTGTAACTGCTATCCTCTAGGAGGAACACATTATACATATTGTTGTTTATGTTTTTTACTCAAATAAATTCAATTCAACTGTTAATCCTCCCTCTTTTTCTCCTGTGAATGAACAAGTGTTACTGTAGAGAACAAGTGTTACTGTAGAGAACAAGTGTTACTGTAGAGAACAAGTGTTACTGTAGTGAACAAGTGTTACTGTAGAGAACAAGTGTTACTGTAGAGAACAAGTGTTACTGTAGAGAAGTTACTGAACAAGTGTTACTGTAGAGAACAAGTGTTACTGTAGTGAACAAGTGTTACTGTAGAGAACAAGTGTTACTGTAGAGAACAAGTGTTACTGTAGAGAACAAGTGTTACTGTAGAGAAACTCACCCTCTTCTTCTTCCTCGTTGTTCTGCTTCATCTTCTTCCGGGACTTTGAATTCTTCTTGTTCTTCATGTCCTGTTTTTCCATAATGTGCTGCATGACTGTAAATGAAGTGGCGAGGAGGACGTAAAGACAAAATGTTATTTTGATTAAATATTTGTCGCAATAACACTCTCCCCAGAGTCTAGGTCTGAAAAACAGATGATGGGCTGGGCTCTCAACTTTGACCCCACTCCTTTTTTTCATTTTCTCACTTTTCCAGTGCTGCATCCTGTTTGATCTGGCCCGAATCCCAGATAATAATAGCTGGAAAACCAATATCAACTGGCTGTTTTTGAACACACGGGAATACCGGATACATAAACACACCTCTGGATGCACCCAAGTCTAATCAAACAAATACATCATATTTACTCCAAAACCCCCAAAACCACCAGCTACAGGAAAACAAACTTCACCAACCCACAACCCATGTAAAAACAGACAAAGATTCATAGATGTACTGTATATAAATAGTACAAACATTATTATCAATAGAAGCAGTTTTGCCACTCACTCTTCTTGTCGTTGGAGGGCTCCAGGTGTCTCTGGATGTACCCCTCCAGGTAGCTTCTGAACTTGGGCGAGGGGGAGAAGAAGGCCAGGCTGATGGCCATGAATTCCCAGCCGGCCTCCAGGCTCCTCAGGCTCAGGTTGTCAGTGGTCTGTCTGACCAGCTGGATGTACAGTTCGTCCCTCAGGGCCTGCATGCCCCAGCACTTAGTGACCACCAGCAGGGCGGCGTGACGGCGCTCCAGCCGGGCCGGACGGTCCCCCATGTAGGCCTGAACCAGCTTGAACATCTCACAGGCCTCTTTCTTGACGGCACGGTCGCTGGTGATCAGCATTGGCTTCTTGATGGAGCCCCTCTTCCAGGAGAGCATGTTAGCGATGGAGACGCGGCGGCGGAACAGGCCCTGAGTGTGCAGGTTCAGGTTCTTACTGGCCCAGTCCACCATGTTGGTGTCTGGAGGAGGTTTACAGAGGGTGGTGTAAGGGTACTGGTATCCCACGCTGCTGCCTCCTCCTCCTCCCCCACCTCCCCCTCTGTCTCCAGTCACTTTGACTCCATTGGGGGGAGACCTGGGTGCTCCTGTGTCCATTACCTCCCCCTTGTGATGAGATCTCTGACTGGGCCTTGGATTCCAGTGTTCCTCCCTGGAGAAGAAGACCCAGAGGGAGAGGAAGCTTTAGCAAGGCATAGACATAAACGCCACAGCTGGAATCATATGTGAATTACTGTCTGTTGATGGTATGTGTCTGATGCTGTAAACATACATAGAGCATGTGAATTATGGTGTGTGTGTGTGTGTGTGTGTTCGTCAGTGTGCGTACTGTAGGATCAGTTTACTCATTCCCCCTAAAGTGTTAACAGAGTAGAATCTGGAATCATTCACGCAGATCACACTCCAGAAATAGGTGACCCAATGTGGGTATCACATCAAAACACATGTATGGTAACATAACATCCATCCCCCACTCTCTGTAGCCTTCCTCTGGCTGCTTCCCTTCCATCACGCCAAAACACTTCCACTGCCACTGGCCATTTACCAAATACAAATGAAACTACACTGAACAAAAATATATACGCAACATGCAACAATTTCAAAGATTTTACTGAGTTACAGTTCATTTAAGGAAATCTGTCAATTGAAATACATTCATTAGGCCCTAAACTATGGATTTCACATGACTGGGAATACAGATATGCATCTGTTGGTCACAGATACCTTTAAAAGAAGGTAGGGGCGTGGATCAGAAAACCAGTCAGTATCTGGTGTGACCACCATTTGCCTCATTCAGCGCGACACATCTCCTTCGCATAGAGTTGATCAGGCTGTTGACTGTGGCCTGTTGAACGTTGTCCCACTCCTCTTCAATAGCTGTGCGAAGTTGCTGGATATTGGTGGAAACTGGAACACGCTGTCGTACACGTCGATCTAGAGCATCCCAAACATGCTCAATGGGTGACATGTCTGGTGAGTATTCAGGCCATGGAAGAACTGGGAAATGTTCAGCTTCCAGAAATTGTGTACAGATCCTTGCGACATGGGGCCTTGCATCATCATGCTGAAACATCAGGTGATGGCGGCGGGTGAATGGCAGGATCTCATCACGGTATCTCTGTGCATTCAAATTGCCATTGATAAAATGCAATTGTGTTAATTGTCCGTACCTTATGCCTCCCATACCATAACCCCACCACCACCATGGGGCACTCTGTTCCCAATATTGACATCAGCAAACCGCTCGTTCCACACGACGCCATACATTAATCCGTGAAGAGCACACTTCTCCAGCGTGCCTGTGGCCATCGAAGGTAGCATTTGCCCACTGAAGTCGTTTACAACGCCGAACTGCAGTCAGGTCAAGACCCTGGTGAGGATGACGAGCACGCAGATGAGCTTCCCTAAGACGGTTTCTGACAGTTTGTGCAGAAATTATTCAATTGTGCAAACCCACAGTTTCATCAGCTGTCCGGGTGGCTGGTCTCAGATGATCCCGTGGGGTTACACGTGGTCCGGTTGTGAGGCCGGTTGGACGGACTGCCAAATTCTCTAAAACAACGTTGGAGATGGCTTATGGTAGAGAAATTAACATTCAATTCTCTGGCCACAGCTCTGGTGGACATTTCTGCAGTCAGCATGCCAATTGCACGCTCCCTAAAAACTTGAGACATCTATGGCATTGTGTTGTGTGACAAAATTGCACATTTTAGAGTGGCCTTTTATTTTCCCCAGCACAAGGTGCACCTGTGCAATGATCATGTTGTTTAATCAGCTTCTTGAGTGAAATAAGCTTTTTGTGCATATGGAACATTTCCTATTCCCCCTCAGGAGGCTGAAAAGATTTGGCATGGGTCCTCAGATCCTCAAAAAGTTATACAGTTGCACCACCGAGAGCATCCTGACTGGTTGCATCACCGCCTGTATGGCAACTGCTTGGCCTCCAACCGCAAGGCACTACAGATGGTAGCGCGTACGGCCCAGTACATCACTGGGGCCAATCTTTCTGCCATCCAGGACCTCTATACCAGGCAGTGTCAGAGAAAGGCCCTAAAAATGGTCAAAGACTCCAGCCACCCTAGTCATAGACTGTTCTCTCTGCTACCTCACGGCAAGTGGTAGCGGAGCCGCAAGTCTAGGTCCAAAAGGCTTCTTAACAGCTTCTACCCCCAAGCCATAAGACTCCTGAACAGCTAATGAAATGGCTACCCGGACTATTTGCATTGTCCCCCCCCCCCCCCCCCCTATTTTATGCTGCTGCTACCCTGTTTATTATCTATGCATAGTCACTTTAACTCTACCCACATGTGAGCGTCTGCTAAATGACTAAAATGTAAATGTACATATTACCTCAATTACCTCGACTAACCGGTGCCCCCGCACATTGACTCTGTACCGGTACCCCCTGTATATAGCCTCGCTACTGTTATTTTACTGCTGCTATTTAATTATTTTAAATTGTTTAGTTATCAATTTTTTACTTAACACTTATTTTGCATTGTTGGTTAAGGGCTTGTAAGTAAGCATTTCACTGTAAGGTCTACACACCTGTTGTATTCGGCGCATGTGACAAATAAAATTTGATTTGAAAGATGGGCTTTTACATTCATACTCATATGATGTCATATTTACAATGTAATGCTGCAGAAGTCAGGCAGATCTGTTAGAGGAACTCTGGCCTCCTATATATCAGGCTTTTCATTATTGTTCTGACAGCGATGTGTGGGTAGGGACCAGGGAGGGTACCCCAATTTTCCATAGCAGCCGTAAAAGACATATGTCTATGTAGTAAGGGCTTCATAATGTGGTCTTATTAAAAACAAAAGCCGCATGATCATCTTTTCAGTGGTGCAGTAATCCATGCAGCACGGTGATATGAACCATGTGGGCCGTTGGTCAGAAGTATAACTGGTGTATTTTTCCACAGCTCAGGTCCAAAGCTTTCCAACCCTAACCCCCTCAGCAGGTCTGGAGCTAAGCTCCACTAAGACCCGCTCAGGCCAAAACAGCCTTTCCCCAAACCCACATCATTTTGAATTAATCGCACAATATAAAACGTGTCCGTGGAGGTACCAGTCACAAATCAGTCTAAGCTGAAAACAGAGGTCTTAGTGGTCAATGCTGAGTTGCCATGAATTTGTAACCGTATCAAAGTGGCTGGTTAAACAGGCTCAGATGGAAAAAAGGGTTGTGTAAGGCTCATTAGCTGGGTAATTAAGCGTGGGGAAGGGCTGAGGGAATTACTGGGTGCCTAACCAGATGTCCTAGGAGGGGACACAAGATTAAGACTTTCTGGCTTGGCCACTTACCCCAAACGGCTGCATCTGCTGCCTGGATCTTCATCAATCCCTTCTTTCTCTCTCTGTCCATCCCTCTCTCTCAGTAATTAATTTTTTTCAGCGAGTCGATCTCCCTAGAGGCTTCTCATCCGTCCACGTAATCTACATGTACAGCTCCTCCCGCGCGCGCTCGCATCCGCTCGACGGCGCAGGCTCCTCGCGCGCTCAGAGTCGCCCTCTCTCATCTAGAGAGTCTCTCTCTCCGATCTCTCGCTCTCCCTGCCTCTCCTCTCTCTCCAGTCCTCGATCTCTCTCTCTCTCTGTTCTCTCACCTCTCTCTCTCTCTCTCTTTCTCTCTTTCTCTCTGTGTGTTCCAGATGGCTGTCAGTGCCATCTCTTCCTGGTCAGTGTGATAGACTGTGATTGGGTTTAGCAGTGTCCTGTGTGGTTTGACTGGCCTCTCTCACAGGCTGGGTGCAGATAACAGTGCAAGATACTCCTCCTTAGGCACATTTGGGGAGGCTGAGGGGGGGGTGCACGGCAGGCTGGGGTACCTTCAAACGAGGCACATCCAGCCAGCGACAGTGGCAACTCTCACAGACAAGAGAGAATGGCAAAGTTACAACAAAAATACAGACTCTTAACGCCACATTGCCCACAGTATGAAAAATCTATGCACTCACTAACTGTAAGTCGCTCTGGATAAGAGCGTCTGCTAAATGACTGAAATGTAAAAATGTAAAGTGTGTTCAAATAAATCCTGATGAATTGTGTTAGTTTTTACATGATGGTTTGATAAAATATCCACTATTACAGACCCTGCTAATTACTGATGTCTAGTTATTTAGGACCCCCTTAATTTTTCAATTTCAGACAGGCATTCTTGCTGAAGGCCTTTGGGAGAGTCATTTCCATGGGTGTTTATATACAGCAGTGAATGATATGGTTTCTGTGGGCCTGAACCACATTTCAGTCAGGCCATTTCAACCCACACACAGCCTCAGCCCCAGTCTCTTTGCAGAGCATAGGCAGCTTCTGCCAAGTTACTCTCCTACAGATCTGACAATGAACAGTGAAACGACTCAGCACCAAACGTATTTCGACATGTGACTTGAGTATTCATCTGCATAACGTAGGAATTTCATATAGGAGCACATTTGAGTACATGATAAATGCACACCACGGAACACGCACACATCCACAAGAAAAACACTGCTATCAGCTCTGAGGATTTGAGGCCATTCAAGATGGCTATTGCTGTTGATAACAGTCAGTAACTCAACCTCTGATTGGACAGTTACAGAGACATAAGTCTCATAACCAGTAAAAGTCTCCAAGCAGAGTCTCCAATTTAGAAGTAGCTAAAGGACTGTAAATCCAGAATGTAAGTGATCCCATTCCAAGACATTATACCCAGTGATCCAGAGAGTTTTATATGTAACACTATGGTGCCTTTGTAGTGGTTGCAAGGCTGGACTGGACTGGGACTACTCTGTTCCTCCCAACCAGCAATCATCCCGGTGGGGAGTAGGACTGCCTGAACCCTCTCTCCCCAATCCTTACTCCCAAATCCTCATTGTCTGAAAAAAAAAAAAACTATTGTGGAGGGATTGTTCTTATTTTACTGTCAAAAACAGAGATCCCTTTTTCCCTTTACACAATAGAAATAGTCCTGGAATGAGACCAACAATTCTATTAAGTTCGTCCAGACAGTATAAAAAGTGTGGGTGCGTTTTATTGAAAAGTCCAGTCCAGTCCAGTCCAGTGTACGTTTCAGAGCAGAGGTTAGAGTATTCTCCAGTGGCCCAGCTGTGATAGTGGATGGATGGAGCTAGCGTAACCCCCCGCTAAGCGCTAGTGTGGGGGAAAAAAGTCTCACATACTGACAGAGGCAGTTAACAGGGCCTTCTCCCTAGTAAGTCCCCAAGCCCAGCCCAACACATGACACACTGCAGCCAGGATCAAATTCGTTGAGGCATCAAAGAATGGTGTTCTCTTTTCCTCTATTTCATCTAGCTTACATACTCTCTCTATCTCACCTCTCTACCTGGGTGGTTGGTCGCCATTCCTTTCACTGAACTGCTCTCTACCTGGGTGGTTGGTCGCCATTCCTTTCACTGAACTGCATGGTCCAATCTCTCAATATAAACACTCATGCACACACTCATGTGCGCTTACCCACACACACACTCAGTAAAAACGACATACTGTTTACTAATCGTGCTACATACTATTTAGAACGTACTGTTTAGTAAAAACGGATGCAGTAAGCAACAAATATCAACATACTAGGCTCATTCTACTGAGAACGCGTCACCTAATGCGCAATTGCGTTGATTCCCGCCATTCGTTCAGTGTTAATACTAAATTGTAATTATTTTGCACTATGGCCTATTTATTGCCTTACCTCCATAATTTACTACATTTGCACACACTGTATATAGATTTTCTATTGTGTTATTGACTGTACGTTTTGTTTATTCCATATGTAACTCTGTTGTTGTTGTTTTTATCGCACTGCTTTGCTTTATATTGGCCAGGTTGCAGTTGTAAATGAGAACTTGTTCTCAACTGGCTTATCTGGTTAAATAAAGGTTAAATAAAAATATAAAAATAAAAACAAAAATAATTTTGTTACAGCGTGTCCCCTCAGCTGATTATCAGCTGTTGTTAAACACACGTGAGTCTGGAAAGACTATTATCTTCCTCAATAGCATGAAAAGGTGAAATGAGTACGACATCCTGGCATTTAAAGCATATAAAATTTAGAAATAGCACATACTATAAAACTTAATATTTTCGCAAACCCAAAATCCCTACTATTTAGAACGCAATTACGGGTATTCGGACACGGCCACTGTATCATATGATCCCATCCTCTCAAAGCACTTCACTGCCACGAGACTGAGAGATGGATGCTGAGAGCGGAATGGAATCTCTATCTCTTCCTCACTCTCTGCAGGAGAGCTCCTCCAGGCATGCAGTGTTTTCTTGGTGGAGGTGACAAAGCCACCTTATGGATTTGGAGAGCTGAGCGACACCTCACGCGGGGGATCGGAGTTCTCGCCCCCATTAAAACTAATGCGCGTTTCATGTTTATTTTTCCTGTCTACCGCAAACGTGTAGCCTGTGGAGTCCTAGCTCTCTGTTTTTAGTTTTTATGTGCAGGTTGTTCTGTTCAGAGTCCCCGCAGAGCAGCCAGACTTCCAGTTATGGGGGTGGATGTGGTTTGAGTTGATAAAGCCATTGACAAAAACAACTCCCCGCCTAACGTTATTTGTAACCAGCCACAACCAGGAACTAGGCTAACCCAAATCACACTATATACTATTTCTAAAACAATTAGGCAAGAAGGAGGCTTGGGACTGTCTCTGGTGACAACACACACTGCATCAACGTGATGTTGTTGTTTTTTACAGGAAAGGAGCGATACAAAATGTGATTAAAAACAACTCCAATATGATTCAAGGCACTCCGACGCAAAGCCCCCTTTTTGCTGGAATGGAACACAGACTTTGGCAACAGGAAACTGAGAGCGATCAGCTTTCTTCTGCATTGTTCCTACGGCGACAGGATGTCGACAGCGTCCAATTTTTCTCCTGAGGGCTGAAGCGAGAGGGAGGTGAGAAAAGAAGGCCGGGAGAGACAGAGATTACTGCTGCCTTCCCTTAGCAACGCCTACACACTGCCACATCTCCAACGCCACACAGGGAGGAAAATAGAACAATTGTTGTTCCCTAGAACTGCTTCAAAAGAAAACAAGGAGAAAGGTGGTAGCTTCATTTCCGGTAGAGAGACAGAGAATTCCCAGGGCATGTAGACATTCCAGCTGACCTGCAGTAATACACCTATCGAGGCTAATTAGCCCATGCCCCGTCACACAAGGTAGAGAGTACAGAGCTTCCCTTACACAGACCGCCCTTTCATATGTCAACACGCTGTTCTATACACAGCAGAACAGCAGGCTGGAGCGGCCCTCGCACTGGGTATTCCACGTTGGTTCAACGTAATTTCATTGAAATGACGTGGAAACAACGTTGATTCAACCAGTGTGTGCCCAGTGGGCTGGAACACATCAGCCACCCGACACATGTCAACATATCACCACATAACTATATATAACACACGCCAGAGGAACAGGCCTGTTTTCTACGGTGTATACACAAAGAGGTCTGAATGCTAAGACACAGCTAAGACAAGAACAACATTCACACCAAGATATAGTACAAAGTGTTGAGAGGCGGGCTGTTCTGAACTGTACCTGTGAGAGGGACATCGGGGGCTCTGAGGAGGACAGGCTGTTCTGGCTGATGATGCTCTTCTCCAGAGTGTCCACCTTCTCATAGGTCCGTTTCTGACGCACCATGCCCTCCGACGCCAGGGGCGAGAGGGGCACGTCGCCGTGGGTACTCCCGCTCCCGGCCCGGTACAGAGAGCGGTTACTGGCGCTGATATCCTCCCGGGAGGAGCTGCGGCCCCCGTACTTCTTCAGGGAGTCCAGGGGGGAACGGGCCCGAGGTACAGAGCCCTCAGACATCTCAGTGTCCAGGCTGGCCTTGCTGCCACGCAGGGTGTTAGGTTGACTCACCACCACCCGCATCTCTGCCATCAGCTTCTCATTCAGGGCACTGAGCTCCCCACTGCTGCCCACCGAGCCTGCCCGGCCCTGCACTGCTCCCCCAGCCCCACCGCCCAGGGCTCTCCGGCGGTTCTTCCTCCTCAAGCTGGGCGAGGGCCCGGTGGAGTAGCCTGAGTCCTGGTAGGTGACAGCGGCCGGCGCTGGGTACTCCTGGGAGGCCACGCTGTTCTGCCGGGTGTGTCGGGCCTCCATGTTCTTCCTCACGCTGGTCTCCAGGAGACGCCATGACTGCTTCTTCTCCAGGCTCACCTCCTTGGGCCTGGGCTGGGTCACGCCTGGGCCTGGGCCTGGGGATGGAGAGGGGGGCAGGTCAGGGTCTGGAGCAGGGGCCTGCTCTGTCTGGATAGGCTGGGATAAGGGGCTCTGCTTGCAGGTGGCAGGGTCCACGTTGACCATGTGTTTGATGCACTCCCATCCAGCGGGGCTGTACTCTGTGGCGGAGGGGTTCCTTTTGTGTTTGGAGGCCAGGTGAGAGGCTGGGTATTGAAGCAGCTTGGGCTGCTGCTGAGGCTGGGTCTGGGTCTGGGGGTGGGGCTGGGTCTGAGGCTGGGTCTGGGGGTGGGACTGGGTCTGGGGTGGGACTGGGGGTGGGGCTGGGGGTGGGGCTGGCAGACCCTCTGCAGGCTGGTGGTTGGGGTGGAGGGCCTGTTCAGGAGGGCGGCCCCCTCCACCTCTACCTCCATCGGGGGCTCGTCATAGATAGGTGTATCCATGGGTGGTTCATCATAGATGGGCGGGGTGGCACCATACTGGGGCGAGGAGGGCCAGGGGGTGCCAGCCTGAGACCTCTGTGGGGTCTGGTAGACCTGGCCGCCACTGGAGGGCATCACCAGGCAGAAGTTACCGTTGTCTCCCTTCTTCAGGTGGAAGGCTTGCTTGTGGTCCACAGGGGAAGCCATCTTGCCTGCAGGGCTAGGGTTGGGTCTGGGACTGGGTCTGTCTGAATGGACCTGGCACACAGCAGGGCTCCCAGGGTTGAGAGTGTTGAGGTGGAAGAGGTGCTGGGTGCTAGCGGGCACCACAGACTGGTTCCTCCCAATGCTGTTCACCTTCACCAACATGGCTGCCTTCGATCCCGGAGCTGGCTGCCATCTTTGACCTGAGTCCCTGGAACAGAAGAGAAGAAGATTTTATGATGAATAATAAAAGTAATATTTATACATCAGGGATGGGCAACTTTGATGGCGGTGGGGGCCACAAAACATCTGAACTGCAGTGGCTCGCCGGTCTGCGTACCCACATCCTTACCCACATTGTTGCCCCCCCCCCACCTCCCCTTCCCACCCTGCAAGCAAAACATTTTAGCCCCCCTATTAAAAGCGCATATTTTTGAGGGAAGTTTTAGCGTTCATTTCCTGCAATTCTAAACATTTTACCATAGGGTGGAGAGAAATGATACCAGTTTTTAATATGATATCTGAGTGAGAGTGACTAACAAAATCAATGGGGGGCCCCCGGTTGGTCATTCGACCATGATAATTACAAGTTTAGGTAGCTGGCCGCTAGAATAACTTACAAATCAACATTTTTTTAGCTGACTGACAGTTACTGACATGAGAAACAAGAGAAAAACTGTGCAGGTTACAACCGTGAGACAGGTATGAGACTGTGCAGGTTACAACCGTGAGACAGGTATGAGACTGTGCAGGTTACAACTGTGAGACAGGTATGAGACTGTGCAGGTTACAACCGTGAGACAGGTATGAGACTGTGCAGGTTAAACCGTGAGACAGGTATGAAACTGTGCAGGTTACAACCGTGAGACAGGTATGAGACTGTGCAGGTTACAACCGTGAGACAGGTATGAGACTGTGCAGGTTACAACCGTGAGACAGGTATGAGACTGTGCAGGTTACAACTGTGAGACAGGTATGAGACTGTGCAGGTTACAACCGTGAGACAGGTATGAGACTGTGCAGGTTACAACCGTGAGACAGGTATGAGACTGTGCAGGTTACAACCGTGAGACAGGTATGAGACTGTGCAGGTTACAACCGTGAGACAGGTATGAGACTGTGCAGGTTGCAACCGTGAGACAGGTATGAGACTGTGCAGGTTACAACCGTGAGACAGGTATGAGACTGTGCAGGTTGCAACCGTGAGACAGGTATGAGACTGTGCAGGTTACAACCGTGAGACAGGTATGAGACTGTGCAGGTTACAACCGTGAGACAGGTATGAGACTGTGCAGGTTACAACCGTGAGACAGGTATGAGACTGTGGAGGTTACAACCGTGAGACAGGTATGAGACTGTGGAGGTTACAACCATGAGACAGGTATGAGACTGTGCAGGTTACAGCACGACTTGAGGTGGATCTGATCTGACGCAGTGCGACTGTGAGATTGTGCTGGTTTAGTTTCCAACAAACATGGCCATAGTGCGAGTACATAATCAGGGCATGGAAACTAAATTAATCTTACTAGCTATTAATATTACTAAAAGAGACACAATGAAACAATGGAAACACATTTCTCAACAAAACCCTTACTCAGCTTATCAAACAGGAATACCCACACGCCCACCCACACAAACACACTCATTTTCCAGAACATCACGGTCATGTTTGTAGGAGAAACACAACAGGAAAGGTCTCTACACTTGGGTAAACAGGATTCCAGCCACTTTATTCCAACGTTACAGTCTGCCAAGTGAAGCTGTCAAAACTACAGCTCCATTTACACCCCCTGCATGCACACACACACCACCCCTTCCATGTTCCCTTAGAGCGAGGTGGAATGTCAGCCCCTAATCCTGCATCAATGCCCTGGGTGTTCTGGTCCATTTGTGGTGCAGCCTACTCAGCACTCCCTCGGACCCCAGATCCAGCTTTCAGCCCTACACACTCCACAAGCAACCTGATAATCTCTCCAACTAGCTAATCTAACCAGCACTCAACTTTCAACACCCCTAAACGTCTACTGTAAAAACAGCATAACCACAATCAAAATCCCCCCACACCCCAACATCATATAGCCTCTGATAAGTAGAGGACAACACCATATAGCCTCTGATAAGTAGAGGACAACATCATATATACTCTGATAAGTAAAGGACAACATCATATAGCCTCTGATAAGTAAAGGACAACATCATATAGCCTCTGATAAGTAGAGGACAACACCATATAGCCTCTGATAAGTAGAGGACAACACCATATAGCCTCTGATAAGTAGAGAACAACATCATATAGCCTCTGATAAGTAGAGGACAACACCATATAGTCTCTGATAAGTAAAGGACAACACCATATAGCCTCTGATAAGTAAAGGACAACATCCATATAGCCTCTGATAAGTAGAGGACAACATCATATTTTTTTATTTCACCTTTATGTAACCAGGTAAGCCAGTTGAGAACAGGTTCTGATAAGTAAAGGACAACATCCATATAGCCTCTGATAAGTAGAGGACAACATCATATAGCCTCTGATAAGTAAAGGACAACATCATATAGCCTCTGATAAGTAAAGGACAACACCATATAGCCTCTGATAAGTAAAGGCAAACACCATATAGCCTCTGATAGGTAAAGGACAACATCCATATAGCCTCTGATAAGTAGAGGACAACATCATATAGCCTCTGATAAGTAAAGGACAACATCCATATAGCCTCTGATAAGTAGAGGACAACATCATATAGCCTCTGATAAGTAAAGGACAACATCATATAGCCTCTGATAAGTAAAGGACAACACCATATAGCCTCTGATAAGTAAAGGCAAACACCATATAGCCTCTGATAAGTAAAGGACAACATCCATAAAGCCTCTGATAGGTAGAGGACAACATCATATAGCCTCTGATAAGTAAAGGACAACATCATATAGCCTCTGATAAGTAGAGGACAACACCATATAGCCTCTGATAAGTAGAGGACAACATCATATAGCCTCTGATAAGTAGAGGACAACATCATATAGCCTCTGATAAGTAAAGGACAACACCATATAGCCTCTGATAAGTAGAGGACAACATCATATAGCCTATGATAAGTAAAGGACAACACCATATACCCTCTGATAAGTAAAGGACAACATCATATAGCCTCTGATAAGTAAAGGACAACACCATATAGCCTCTGATAAGTAAAGGACAACATCATATAGCCTCTGATAAGTAAAGGACAACATCCATATAGCCTCTGATAAGTAAAGGACAACACCATATAGCCTCTGATAAGTAAAGGACAACATCCATATAGCCTCTGATAAGTAAAGGACAACACCATATAGCCTCTGATAAGTAAAGGACAACATCCATATAGCCTCTGATAAGTAAAGGACAACACCATATAGCCTCTTATAAGTAAAGGACAACAGACT